TACAGTAATGATGTAAAATTCATATAAGAAAGAACCCTAGGCTATCATGCAATTCTATCATGCAATTCCTGAAGGTCCCTAGTCTATCACTAGCATGTTGTTTTATCATAAACATAATAGCAAATAACAGTGTGTGTAATTTTGGGTATACTTTCTTGCTCCGGCTGATCGTACACATCGCATCTTTCCTTGTTTACTTTTGTAAACAATTTTTGAAAAATCAATTTAAAAGCTTTTGCAGTTCCCTAGTTTGAGTCTGGATTCACACGAATGCTCATCCAATTCTCTCAAACCAAGGCTCTGATACCAACTTGTAACACTCAAAAATCACAATAATTTAAAATTTTCAAAATCAACCATTCATCATCAATGTTTACAAAAATAGTCATTGTTTCAAAAATATTGTTTCAAATAAGAGTTTTTCCCTAAGATCCAGTGACAAAACAGGAAGCTGTGTACGATCATGCCTTCACCTTTTCGTGATCCTCTGAAGTACCTGACATCATAAACTAAAGACTGTAATCCAAAGCTTAGCGAGTTCCCCCAAAATACCACCACACAAACATATAATCAAACAGATAATTCGTCCACAACCTCCTGGTTCGATTACCCTCGACCGACAACCTAACGGTTGGAATGCCCCGGCCCACAACCTTACGTTTGGAATGCCCGATACATAACGAGTCCACAACCTCCTGGTTGGATTACCCCGATCCCATAACCTTCCGGTTAGAATGCCCCGGGTCACAACCTTAGGGTTGGAATGCCCAGTCTGTTGACTTACAGCACAAAGCAGTACACTCTCAACCCCACTATACCATGTCGACATGTGCATATCAAACAACATATATCCAAAAACAGATAAACATATAACCAGTTAACAAACTAGCAGGTAGATCTACATATCACTAATGTATAGCAACATCCTAGATACCATACATCTTTTGATGAAAGAAAAAAAAGAAAAAAAAGAAAAAAAAACAGTTATTATCTTTTGATGAAAGAAAAAAAAACATACATCTTATAGATCTAAAAAATAGTTAGTTACTTCAACGAATTTTGTCATATGATTTGTGTAGAATTCTGTCTTCCAAATATAGCAAGAGATCAATACTTCAAGGACTTAAGTTGTAACTTTGAAGTTAATGGCTTAAAATATGTGAATGTTTTTTGCTCAAGGTGTAGACATTTGAGATTGAAAATAACCTACGATATTATATTTATTTATAAGAGATAGAGTATGTAAAATGTAATGATTAATGATTTCAAAATTTAAAGGGATAATGACTTAAAAGTGTAATATATTTTTTGATTTGTACATATTTGTTCACTGAGTTTTTTTTTCGTCCACATTAACCCCTTCAACTTGTTAAACTGTACACATTCAGTTCTTATAACCGGCTACTCCAGGTAAGTCGAGAAAAATGACTTAATATGGTAATATATTTTTCAACTTGCACACATTTAGTCCTTAATATTTATCTGTTTCAAAATAAGTCATTGTTGTTTTTGTACACATTCAGTACTTATGAACGATTTCTTTAGGTTTTTCTCATGACATCCTACACTGTACACTCATTAATGAGGTGTTTACTGTTTAGGGTTGTTGATGCTTATGGCCACCTCGGCCTCGACTGCTTGGTTGCATAGGTCTTGTGTTTTAACTTAGGTCGTTTCCTTTGAACGTCTTAACTTCTTCATACGATCTCTAATTTTAATGATCTTTATATCCACACGTTCGTATTTGAGTCTACTACAACTTTTGTTTAGATTACCCCTTTTCAAAAGTAATATATTTGTACTTAAGATTTTTATATCCATGAATTTTTTTATGAATGTATGTATGAATGTTTTTTTTTTCATAAAATCATAAGTAAAAATATATTACTTTTTGACGGGAGTAATCTTAATGAAAGTTGTAGTAGACTCAAATATTAACGTGTGAATATAAAGATCGTTAAAATTTGAGATCTTATGAAGATGTTACGACATTCAGAAGAAAAGACCTAAGCCAAATCACAAGACCTAAGCAACCAAGCAGTCGAGGCCGCGATGGACATAAGCATCAATAGCCTAAAACACCTCATTAATGATTGTCCATGTAGGATTTCGTGAGAAAACCTAAAGAAATCGACCATAAGTACTGAATGTGTATAAAAACAACAAAGACTTATTTTGCAATAAAAAATATTAAGGACTAAATGTGAAAAAAAGTATTAAGGACTAAATATCTACAAAGTGAGAAATATATTACCCTATTAAGTCATTTTCCCAGCTTATCCAGAGTAGCCGGTCATAAGGACCGAATGTTTACAATTTAACAAGTTGAAGGGGTAAATGTGGACGGAAAAAAACTCAGTGACCAAATGTGTACAAATCAAAAAATATGTTACCTTTTATGTCAATATCCCAAATTTAAATCCTTATTTGCAATTTAAATCCTTGTCTACTTCAACATCAATAGTATCAAAATCCCAGATGTCTTCCATTAGTAAAGCTTGGAAGACTCGAACTCGTGCCCACAGTTTTCGTCTTCTTCGCACGTAAAAAGCCCTAATTTCTTACCATAACTGTGTGTGATCTACCGTTGAAGGAATGGGTGTGTGATTTGGTCGACTCACCTTCCACTTAATCTCATTTAATGCCACATCGGTTTGTCACCGGTTGCAAGAGTGGTAACCGGGTAAATTGGGTCAATTCGCCGGTTTATCCGATATTTCATGCTTTTCCGTTAACATTTAATAGTTTAGGACTTTTTCGTAAACGCGGGCAAAATAATAGGACTAAAATGGAGATTTCCCTTTTTAAAAGTATTAAATGTGAATGAATTTTTAAAGATTTCATATGAAATCATTAGAATCATACTCTAAAAATATATCATTCGACTCTTAATGATTTTTATTTATTAGGTAATATATATATATATATATAATTATATATATATATATATATATATATATATATATATATATATATGGAGTGGTTCAAATGAGAACCACAAAAGATTAAGAACCCTAAGAACCCCAGTAGTTAGTAAATATTTACATGATGCTCTTATTAAACATGTGAAAATCCTGTTTATTTTTCTTTTTTTGATACAAAAAGAGCAAAATTGTAATTTTTGTAGTATAATATTTTCATTCTTATATGCTCTCATATTTGAACACAAAACTTATATAAAATACAAGTTTATACGGTTCATTTATAGTTTAATTCATAAAATTCACAACTTATTACAAAACCATTTTAGAATAATTCACAAACTCAAAGAAATCAAAAATGCAAACTCTACTACTACCACCATCACACATTGCCACCAACCACCTATACCAGCATCGCAATAATCATTTTCTTCTAAACCAGATCTGTAAATAAAGTAGTGCATTAATAACTTAAATACTACATTCACAGTCTAATAAAACCATTTATTTCACTTATTTTGAATTTAATGCAAAACTATTATAAAAACTAATGCATTCTTACATATTTATACAACACAAAAAATAAATATATTCAGAAGAAAATTAACAAAAAAGTTTATACATAAATCATTCATATTTTAACACAAATTATAAAAATTTCACAGCAAAATACAGTCAATTCACAGTTTAAACAGAAAATTCACAGTTTAATGCAGTTAATTCATATTTTTAAACACAAAAATCAAAGTTTATTACTCAAAATATACAGTTTAATATAGTCAATTCACAACTTAAATAGAAAATTTACAGCTTAATGCAGTTAATTCAAAATGTAAAACACAAAAATCATAGCTTAATACATAAAATTCACAGGTTATTACAATAAATTCAAAGTTTAATACACAAAAAGTATAAATTCATAGTTATATTATCAACTTAAAACTCCTAATACAATCAATTCATTGTTTAATAGACAAAATTCATAGTTTAATAAAATAAATTCACAATTTAATACAAAAAATATATATTCACATCCATATTTTCAAATTAAAACTTACATTTATGTATTAAATTGTAAATTTAATATATTAAGCCGTGAATAAAATTTACAGTATTTCAAAAGCAAACAAAAAAATTATAAAATAACCACATCTTAATGTCACTTCATTCACAACTTAATACAATCAATTCATAATTTAATACACAGAATTCACAGCTTAATATAGTCAATTCACAGTCTAAGAAGAAATTCATAATTTAATACAATTAATTCACAGTTTAAAACACAAAAATCATAGTTTAGTACCCAAAATTCAAAGTTTAATACACAAAAATATGCATCCACAACCATATTTTCAACTTAACACTCTTAATATAGTCAATTCATTGTTTAATACACAAAATTCATAGCTTAATACAAATAACTTCATAGTTTAATACATATGATTCCCAGCTTAATCTAGTCAATTTACAGTTCAAATAGAAAATTCACAGCTTAATGCAGTCAATTCGTAGTTATAAAGAAAATTCAGAGCTTAATGCAATCAATTTACAGTTTAAAACACAAAAATCACAGCTTAGTACACTAAATTCACAATTTAATACACAAAAAGTAGTATTCAGATCCATATTATCAACTAAAAACTCTTATTACAATTAGTACACAATTTAATATAGAAAATTCATACACTAGTATGATAAACTCAAAGTTTAATTAAAAAAATTATACATTCACAACGTAATAACAGTTAAAACTACGATTAACAAAATTATACCAAAAATGAGAGATTAAAACATCAAATTCACACTTTAACAGAACAAAACAAAACAAAAACTATATCATAGAGATCTACAACAGAAGTAAGTAGAAGAACAAGTAGAAAAGAAAACTTAAAGAAGATTTATCTATAAAAATCGACATACCTGATTTTGTTTGAAGATTTATCTTCAAAAATCAGATTTGATGCAAGCCAACATGAAATGCACCAGATACACCAGATCCATACATGAAATGCATCATACACATCAAATTTGATGCAGATCTGGTGTTAGGTAGTAGATCTGGCGTTCAGAACTTCGTTAATCTCGAGATCTGGTGCGCCGATCGTATGAGAAAGAAAGGATGGTTCGTCGGTGGTGGTTAGTCAGATCTGAAAAATGGAAAAACACATCAGATTGAGTGAGATCTGATGCAGATCTGGTGGTTCTATGGAGATCAGAGAGAAAACGAGTTGGATGTGGTTGTAGATCTGGCGGAGTGGAGGGGGAGGATGACGTAGGATGTAGCGGCTATAGTCGTTGACGGCAAATCTGAAGGTTTCCGGTGAAGATCCGACCAGATCTGATCTGAATAGATCAGACGAAGTAGTGCTTTGTCGGTGGTGGCCTTCAGTGATGGAGCTTTTCACTCCAGATTTGAGATCAATGGCGGTGAAGGGTGGATCTGAAGTGAAAACCTTGGCTACTCTACATTCCGTCGACGAAAGGCGGTAGATGACAGCGACAATATGCGGCAGGTGGTTGAGCTGGTGCTGGGTTTTGTGTTGTTGGGAGAGTTTGAGAGGGTTTGGGAAAGTTTTCTTGCAAAACAAGTTTGAAAGAATAGACCAAGTATATATATATATATATATATATATATATATATATATATATATATAATATATATACTATATTATTAAACATATTGCCTGTTTCTTGAAAATTAAGAGGTACAATACCTATTACCTCATGTACAATAATATTAAGCTTATAATCGCATGGTATACGTATACACGGTATTACCTTATCTCTTCGATGTTGCCTTAATCTTATCTACACACAACACTACATACAACATCCGCTATCAGAAGGAAATCGAACCCCTCTTCTTTGCGTCTCCTTCCTAATCGCTCCAGAATCGACGACCCCCTGAAAGTCCACCTTTTCCGTCACCGATGTCCGCCACCCCCGTTGTCTCCCCGCTTCTACCTTCTATCAATACGAGTAGCCCTAACCCTATCCCGCCGCCACGTTCAACCACCATTTGGTCGTCGTCACTACAACCTATTAGCGGGTCACCGTCTACCATTTCGTTCGATTCTTAGCAAACCACAACGATCGGATGGGATCAACAAAATTTGGCTTCTCCTCAAATTACAACATCAAACAATCTCCGCTCCAATCTGTACTCTCTTTCTATTCTCTTTTCTTATGTCGTAATTTATGTCCTAAAACCAGTGTTGTAAAAATCCCGATTAATCTCCGATTAATCCCTAGGCGCTACTCGACCGATTAGAGAGCGCCTAGCGATTAATCCGTGCATACACAATGACTGAAAGAATAGAACCCGATGAAATTTTAACACTTTGAATAAGTTATATCTCAATAGAAACTAATTGAGTTATTATTAGTGTTGTATTTATCATATTAACCTATTTTGTTATGATACTAGTGATATTTACGAACTTTTATATGATATTAGTCATATTTAATTTTTTAAAATCTAACAAATTAGCAATTAATGGTCCCTGATTCATCCCCCGATTAATCTCCGCCTAGCCGATTAATCCCTTAACCCTAGTCCACCGACTAGCTAACGTCGAGTGATTTTTACAACCTTGCCTAAAACCCTAATTTTTTCTAAATCGTTAGTCAGACAAGGGTTATTCTTCTTCCAAATGTTAATTTTGTGGATGATCAATGAACTTGCGGAAACTACAGAAGTTTGTTACTTTGTCAAAATTTTCATCGGCGGAGGTGTTGAAGCTACTAAGAAAATGGTAGTGGTTGTGTGGTGGCTGATGGTGGCTACCGGTGTTGGTGTAGAGTTTATTACGATAGTACGAAACCAAGGCTGGAAAATAATCCCGGTTTGAGGGGACGAAAAACAATAAAAAAATTATGATAATAAAATAACTTTTTCCTAATTTTTTGTATAGAAAATGAAGACTCGAGTGGTGAAGAAAAACCTAAATGTTGTGTGGGATGAAGATTTAACTCTCTCGATTATAGAGCCTCTTCCCGTTAAACTCGTAAGCTATTCTTCAAACACTTGGTTCTCTTCCCCTAAATTGATTTCAGATTTTGAAACAATATTGTTGATACATGAAGTATACGATAGGGATCTATTTTTGTTTTTATGTGCATTGATGATCGTTTGTTCCATTTCTTTTTAAACTTGCTATATATAAATATGAAAATCAAGAACATCTTGATTTGTTGATTTTTCTGTATGTTTGTTTATATCTCAATTTTTGGAATACATCACAAAATGTTCATTGTCTGTTTACTAATTGTCTTTAATGTGTGGATGTAGTTTCATGTGCTTGGTTGGAAAAAATGATGATTTGAAAGAGGAAATTCAACGCAAGTTTCTTTCTTGTTTTTTTGCTGAGTATTTAGTTAAAAAGGTGGGGTGGGATGGACATAGGACATATTAGTTGGCCGGCTATTTTGTTATATCTCCAATACTAAAAAACCTCTTCAGTTCATACGTTATTAAATACTTTCAGAAATAATTTCACATGATATATTGCCATTAAAGTCAACCAACGTGGCTCTTTTTGCAGGTGTTGTGGTGTATAATGTCTATATATGATGGGATGATAAAGGAAAGAAACTCACAGAAAGTTGTAGAGATTTTCCAAAGGATGAAGAGAAATTGTTGCCAACCCTCTACTGATACCTACACAATGTTGATAAACTTCTACGGGAAGGTGATAAGAATTACAGCTCATTTATTAAACAAAAACAATGTATTTAATCTATTGAAGTTCTTTTCTTGTTCATCTTTTTTCCAGGTTTTAAATTTGTGCTGTATACTTTCTAGGTAAATCGTTCATACATGGCTTTGAAAGTGTTCAATGAAATGAAAAGTCAAAAGTAAACACCGAATATTTGTACTTACACTGCTTTGATAAATGAATTTGCTAGAGAAGGACTTTGTGAGAAAGTAGAAGATGTATTTGAGGAGCTACAAGAAGCTGGAATTGAGTTGATGCTGGGAGCTTTGGTGAAGGGTCTGCTGTATTCCATTGGTAAGTATATTATATATGACAATTTTAATAAAATTTTATGTTAAATCACTTGTTAATATTACAATTTTTTGTTTTGTAGTGAACTTTGCTCGAATAGTACCTAATGGGCTTCTTGTCTTTTTTCCATCTTACTACCTTTTGAATCAATGCATTGATTTCTGGAAGAACACGGTAATAATAAATTAATAATATCTTATTAATATTATCTTAGATTATAATTTCTTTTACTTTTTAATATACAAACTTGATGTTTTCAGGGTGTAACTTCAACAAATTCAAGTACTATTTGGGAAAGAATTTGTAAGCATAAGCTACTAGTTATGGAACCTAGACAATCTTCACTTTTTCCTGAAGCAATTGATGTAAGAGTAAATTATTTTTTCACTTTCAGTTAAAAAAAAATTATTTTTCTTTAATTCATTTTAAAATTTGAACAGGACTACATGGCTAAGCTAAGAGACAACTCAACTACTGATGCAGTGTTTTTTGCTGTATGTCATGGAAAGGTAATTTATAATTTTATATAGTATTTGACTATTTTCTCCTTATGACATTTATTGAAAAGTTTAAATTTTTATATAAATAGGTAAGTGAAGGATTAGATTTTGCTGATCAAGTTGGAAGAGTTGTGATTGTGACTGGAATTCCATTTGTAATGAGGAATGATCCAAAAATCCGTTTAAAACGTGAATTTTTAGACCAACATGCACTCTCCCAAAAAGGATCAAAGGTAATTAATTTTGGTCAACAAAGTCAAACTCACTTAAATTTATATTTTTTTATTTTATAGGATTATAAGTAGATTGCCTTTTTTGTATTATATGATTTGAAATATTTTTGGTAGGGATTTCGACAATTATTATATTCATTTTTAAATTTTTGAGTATATTTGTTAAGTTTTGTATGATTTTAAATATTTTTGGTATGGATTTTGATAGTTATTATATTTATTTTTAAATTTTCAAGTATATTTGTCAATGTTAGTATTCATGGTAAGATTTTAATTTGATTAATTTTGGAATGATTATCAATATCCAAAAATACATTATTTTCAATTCTATAATAGTTTATTCCACATATAAACTCAATATATGTTCTTCATTTCTAACCATTTCAATTCTATAATAGTTTATTCCACCTATAAACTACAAACATTTTTAACCGAAAAATACAGTTTCTATTTTAACTATTTCAACAAAAAGTAAGATTTAAGTTCAATTTTGACAATTTTAATCAATCACATCTGACTTCCGTTTTGTAGAATCATGAACGGTCACATTTACGTTGATGCATTTTCATTGCTACTAAACTTCCATTTGTGGTATATTTTGACACCCGTCTGTGTGGATTTCATTTGGAGAGACGCAAGAGCAAACAAACTCTTCATTGTTCTCATTGATCAAAATGTATGTTTAAAAAATTATTTATATCTTATTTTCATTTTCATAATTTATCATAAGTATTTTGTTTATAAAAATATTACATTTTCTATTAGAGAGAGAAATTGGTAGCAGTTGTTCCACAACAAATGACGTGTTTTATTTATGGAGGGAATCTATTGGGTAGTGTGTTCTCTTTAAACCATTTCCAAATCGAACCAACCCATATTGAGTATCCGATGTATCAACAATACAGTTTATTGCGTGGTGATTTGATGATTAAGATCAGCAATAACACACGATTTAATAGTTTATTCCACATATAAACTCAATATATGTTCTTCATTTCTAACCATTTCAATTTTATAATATTTTATTCCACCTATAAACTACAAACATTTTTAACCGAAAACTACGGTTTCTATTTTAACCACTTCAACAAAAAATAAGATTTAAGTTCAATTTTGACAATTTTAATCAATCACATCTGACTTCCGTTTTGTAGAATCATAAACGATCACATTTACGTTGATGCATTTTCATTGCTACTAAACTTCCATTTGTGGTATATTTTTACACCCGTCCGTGTGGATTTCATTTGGAGAGACGCAAGAGAAAACAAACTCTTGATTGTTCTCATTGATCAAAATGTATGTTTAAAAAATTATTTATATCTTATTTTCATTTTCATAATTTATCATAAGTATTTTGTTAATAAAAATATTACATTTTCTATTAGAGAGAGTAATTGGTAGCAGCTGTTCCACAACAAATGATGCGTTTTATTTATGGAGGGAATCTATTGGGTAGTGTGTTCTCTTTAAACCATTTCCAAATCGAACCAACCCATGCTGAGTATCCGAGGTATCAACAATACAGTTTGTTACGTGGTGATTTGATGATTAAGATCAGCAATAACACACAATTTAATTGTTTGGCCGATGCTATCATATCATGGTTTCCGGTTTTTCCATTGGTTCCCTCGATAAAAAGTTTAGTAGAGGATCGGACAGAGAGAAAAATGATGATCGGTAAATTTAATAACTTATATATATATTTAGCATTCTAAAGTTTTTAAAATAATAACAAGTTATCCTTTTAATTATCGCTATTTTTAGACATTGTTGGAAAAATCATCAAAGGCAAGCGAAACTATTCCCGTTACTTTGGTTTACTGACATTAACTTCGTTCACTTTATATCTTCAAGATGGGCCGTAAGTGTTTATTATTATCATTATTATTATTATTATTATTATTATTATTATTATTATTACACTAAAACAAAATTAGATGATTTTGAAAATATTTGATTATAAATACGGGGTATAATAAAGATGAAACTATATATAACGGACTGAACACGTCATCAGATTGTGAAGACTTGCTATACGATAAAAAGAAAGTATATAATATTTGTTTCTCGGGTGAAATTGGTTCATTTGGATTCAAGTAAGTTTTTTCTAGAAAATTATAATAGTTGTAGTGATATTAAAATAACTAAATCAATACGTTTTAATAGTTTTTATCTTATTTTCAGTGAACATTTTGATATCAACCTAATTAAGCAACGTAGAGTTCCAACCGAGGATGCCGAAAGCATTTAACATCATAAATATGCCTAGAAGAATTTTTAATTCCGTGTGAGACATTTGGTGGTGTTTTTTTTGAAGTTTTGACAACTTTTATCAGTGCGTTGCTTTTAGAGTTGATCTACATTAATGTTAGACATATTGTGGTGAATTTTTTCATGTGTGGTTTATTTTTCTTGTCTTGGCTTATGAATTGATATATAATAATTTTTGGATATCTATGGAAATTTTCTTTTAACTATGTATTAGTTTCTTCTATTGTGTTTTTGGATTACAAGTTTTTAGTATAGTTGGTTATTTATTAAAGGTTGTGTTGCTTTCTGAAAAACTAAAAAAATTAATGTGAAAATCAAATTTGATGATTTTTCTAACAACAAATTAGTTTCATGTGAGAATCTTTTGTTGAATTAATGAGCATGTATACAGTTGTTAATGTTCAGATCGGACATATGAAAAGTTTGTACTTTTAAAATTGTTAACGTTCATCCCATCACATCACACGAGGCTTTAAGCTTTTGGTATCGTACAATTGTTTCTTGTATTTTTTAGATTATATTATTTATTGCACTTTTATTTGTGTGAAACACACACATACATGACTACTAAATCACATGGTCTACCTACGTCTGCTTTTATGTCATATTATTGGGCCTACCTGCTTTGAAGATTTATACACAGCTAATGGTGTATTACACCCTACATTTCGAAAAGCAACTCTTGAAAGAGGTTTAATAGAGACCGATGATAATTTATCACAATGTCTTGTAGAGGCTTCCTTATTTCAATTTCCCAGCGCACTTAGAAGGTTATTTGCGACAATGCTGATTTTTTGTGAACCAGGAAATGTTCGCAAGTTATGGGACGACCACTATGATTCTCTTTCTGAAGATTATAGGAAACAATACGGATGTGCCGAATGAGTGCAAAATATGGTCCTCATCGACATTAGAGTCTTCCTAGAATCTATGAGTAAAAAGCTTAGTGATTACGACCTTCCAAATGTCAGTGCACACATCGATTTACAATCAAGAGGCTATCATGAGGTGCAAGAAGAATACTCTATAAATGTGGAATATGAAGACTTACATGCGCGATACTCTCTCAATTCAGACCATAAGTTTGCATATGATGAGATAATGAGGCATGTGGACGAAAATATTCCGGGTGTGTTCTTCATAGATGGTCCCAGCGGAACGGGAAAGACATTTTTGTACAAAGCTTTGTTGGCCAATATTCGTGCCTGTGGTCTTATTGCACTTGCAACTGCCACGTCAGGTGTTGCGGCTAACAACATGCCAGGAAGGAGAACAGCTCATTCACGATTTGGAATTCCCCTCATTCTTGATAATAAATCAATGTGCAAGATCACTAAACAAAGATGGAAGGCTTAGCTACTTCGCGAGGCAAAGTTAATCATATGGGATGAAGTAGCAATGTCTAAGAGGCAGGCGATAGAAGTAGTTGATCGAACAATGCAAGACATCACAGATGAGAAGCTCCCTTTCGGTGGAAAGATAATGGTTATGGGAGGTGACTTTAGACAAGTGTTGCCGATCGTGAGACATGGCACTCGAGCACACATTGTGGACTCTAGCTTACGAATGTCACCTCTATGGGCTTCAGTTAAAAGGCTTCGTTTATATATCAACATGAGAGCGGTAAATGAACCATGGTTTTCTGATTTTTTAATTATGAGTCGGTGATGGAAAAGAGGAAACATTGGACGAGTCCTTTATTCGTATACCTGATAACATGTCCATTCCATACACTGATAAAACTAATTCAATGGACGCTCTGATTGATGCAATATTTCCTTCTTTGCAATCCAACTACGCTGATTCAAAATTTATCATTTCGAGGGCAATATTATCAACTAAAAATGAAAGTGTTGATGAGATTAATAATAAGTTGATCGAACGATTTTCTGGCGAGCAAAAAGTTTACTACAATTTTGATGAAGCGGAAGATGACAAAAATAACTTATATCCGATGGAATATTTGAACTCGCTAAATGTTAGTGGTGTACCCCCTCATTATCTTCGGTTAAAAATTGGGTGCCCAGTAATACTTTTGCGAAATATCGATCCTTTAAATGGGTTATGTAATGGCACCAGATTGATATGTCGAGCTTTCCAACAAAATGTCATTGATGCAGAGATAGTTGTTGGTCAACATGCTGGAAAAATAGTGTTTTTACCAAGAATTCCTCTATGTCCGTCTGACGATGAGATGTTCCCATTCAAACTAAAGAGAAAGCAGTTTCCAATTTAGCTTAGTTTCTCTATGACAATCAATAAAGCTCAAGGACAAACAATTCCAAATGTAGGTGTTTATCTACCAGAATCGGTATTCTCACATGGCCAACTGTATGTGGCGTTGTCCAGAGAAATATCACGTGTCAATACCAAGGTATTAGTAAAGCCAGAAAAAACATTTGATAATGATGGAATCTACACATCAAACGTTGTGTACAAAGAAGTTTTATGTGATTAACAAGGTACAATCAACAAATTATTATTTTACAATTTCTTCAAATATGTATCTTAGTTGCTCATTTGAGGTTTAATGCAGGGCTAGCAGATGAAGCAACATGATTGCAGATTTGTGTAGTTTATATATTGGACATGTTATAAGTGTACAAAACTACATAATTGCAGATTGTTGTTATTTATATATTGTAAAATCAAGTATGAACTATTAGATGAAAATCCAAATGTAGACTCAACTTCTGTCGTATTATATGACTATGCACCTAGCAAGAAAGTATCCGTTGAAATGAACTATTCGACACAAAATAGTCTACCAAAAGGCTGCAATGAATAGCTCACGTCTAAAGGAAACTAATCATCACATTAAAACTATCTTCCGAAAGAAACTCTTTGTCGCCCGACGCTTAGCACGGGTAAACGGCTAGTATATATATATATATATATATATATATATATATATATATATATATATATATGTAGGTTCATGTATTCTAACTATATATTGTGTGGATTTAGGAATCATTGTAGGCCAATCATTTCAAAAACCTACATAAGGGTAATTTCGTAATCTTAACTATTAATTATTTTTGGTAAATTGTTAAATTAAATAATATCCTTTTAAATAGAAGATCGGTTTTAATTCAAACCTAATTCATTTTCATTAAACCTATCCACCCACAAGTGTAAAAGACAGCCACCACGATCCAAAGTTTGGATCTTGACTGAACACCAGCTGTTATTCCCTTCATCTCTTTGCCATCTTCAAAAAATACCAAGCCATTATCGCCTCTATATGTTTTTCTGCAATTCCGATTTGGTGGTCAAGCTGATGGGAAAGAAGTGCATGAAATTCATGGAGGGTTCATGAAGTTTGTGTTAAGGCTAATGTTTCTCTCCTTTCAAGAACTTTGATATCATCGGTTTAATTGTTGGCCTCCGTCTTCTTCTATCATTGAAAAAACCGCCGAATTCTTCAGGGTTGAGGTAACTCTCAAATTGAACCAACTTCTTGTTTGATGTAATTGATTTGGATGTTTTAAATCATGCGGTTCTCACTTGATTTTATTTGTTTCTGGTTTCACTGTCAAATCTTGAAAAAAGGCGGTGGCCTGGACCTGTTTGGATGGAATATACTTTTGAACTTGTACGTGAAGCCGTAACTTTTGTCGGATGCTCGCAACTTGTTTGACGAAATGCCTAGCAGAAATGCAGTTTATTTTTCAAATGCGCATACTAAGCTTCAATCGCAACAACTTCACACTTGTAAGTATGTTTAAAGCATGTCTTGGCCTCGAGGCCATTAAAGCAGGTAAGACCATTCATAGGTGTGCTATTAAAACCTGCTATGAGATCGATCCTTATGTTAGTGTTTCATTACTTAATTTATACACTAAATCTGGTGATATCAATGATGCACAACTTGTTTTCGAAGAGATACCCAAAAAAGATGTGATCCCTTGGAGTTTCATGATTGCAAGATACTCTCAAAGTGACGGATGTAAAAAGGCTGTAAGACTATTTTGTAGAATGAGACAAGGATCCGTTGTTCCTAATCATTTTACTTTTGCTAGTGTCCTTCAAGCATGTGCAACAATGGAGAATTCAAGATTGGGGAAGCAGATTCATTCCCATTTACAGAAAGTTGGTCTTGATTCTAATGTGAGATACAAAGCAGAAGTACTATCACATCCGCTGTATGACAATTATTATCAGCTCATGTCGCTTGTTTGAGAATCGCAACTCCCGTTGACCAGTTACCCAAAATTGATGCACAGTTAGCACAATCACAACATGTTGTATCAAAGTATTCGGGTTTTGAAGTACATACTTGGTGATGATAAAGAACTTGATCAATTCATGGTATGCTTCTTTTCTTCTTAAACTTGTATGATCTGGTGTTGGAAACTTGAAACGCAGACTCATGATGTTCTGTTGCTATGTTCGTTTAAAGAACAATTACAACAACACGTTCGTGTTCATGCAATGGAAGCAATAATGGCGAGGGTAATTCTTCCATAATTGAATCTTGAATTTCAATTATGTCGGAATAGAATCTCGAATTCCGATTCTGTCGGAATTGAATCTCGATATTTACCTTGTGATTTGTGCATTTTCTATAATTTTTGGTTATGAGTTTTGGTGCAATTCACAAGTATGCAGATTTGTACACAGGACTTTAGTTTTTTTTCTTTTTTATTTGGTAATGAACTATTCTTTCAGAATGACTTGAAGAGGAAATCAATGATTGATCATACAATAGAAAGACTTGGAATGAAGTTCAATAACATGTTACAATGAAGAAGATTAAGTGTGATTATTTGGACCATTGAAGAAGATTAAGTGTATTTTTTCAATAATTGTAGTATTTGAGAATGTTATTCTTAAGAATTTTATTCATTTTGATGACATTCTGTTAGAATATGTACAATTATATTGAAATGTATCTGTATGTAAGAATATTTATGAAGTTGTATTTAAGTTCGGATGTGTATGAATATATTAGAATGTTGTTATTATTCAATTTCA